GATTACACCCTTTCGTTCAGCCCTGACGCCTCCCTTGTTCCCAGATTGAAAATCCATCTCCTTTCACATTTACGTCTCTCGTTATCCGTCCATACCACACTCCTTTGTAACCCTGCAACCCTGAGATTCCGCCAGCCATGCAAAATAAAATGTTTAACTAATAAAGTATGAATTTCTTTTTTATTGTAAAAATTGTAACGATGTTGATACATTCTAACAGATATGGAATTCTTAGTCTCGCCAATGTACTGTGCTCCACATTTGACACAAAATATCATATAAATACAGTTATTTGAACGGGGATTAAATCGTTGCTTGATTGTAAAGATGTTTTTGTTTATTCTATTTCTAACATATGTCAATGTGCAAAAATTGCTAATTAACTTGTTTTTATCGGTCCTTTGTTGTATGGGTTTTAATCTGGCATGAACTAGTAGGTCCTTTAAATTTTTATTCCTTCTGTATGCAGATATGATTCTGTGATTATCCAGTATTTTTTGTCCCCCAATCATATCCTGAAAATTTGTTTTTAGTCTATTGTTCATAATTGTACTCATTTTGGAAAATGTTGTTACCAATGGAATAATTTTAGTAGGATCCGGTTCCTTTTGGACCTGAAATGTTTTAAAACAGTCCCTCAAAAAGGATCTTGTGTATCCCCTTCTCCGGAGTACCGTAAACAGTACCTGAACTGCCTCCAAAAAATCTTCCTCCCGTGAGCATATCCTCCTGAACCTAATTAGTTGCGATTTAATTAATCCTTTATATGTATGAGCCGGATGAAAACTTGATTTGAATAGAAGTGCGTGTGTATCTGTTTCCTTGAAAAAGACTTTTCTTTTATATCCAATTTATGAGTTGTGTCAAATGTTGGTCCTTTGTAAACTGTAGTATCTAAAAAATTGACATATTCCGAATGTAATGTGTACTTTAATTTAATTGAAGGGTCATGTGAATTCAGGATGTCAAACCATTTCTGAAAACCCTCCCTCGAACCTGTCCAGATTCCCCAAATATCGTCCAGGTAACGCCAATAATGCAATGGCTTCTCGGGGCAGTGGGCAAAAGCCTCCTCCTCCCAGACAGCCATGAAAATATTAGCGTAAGCTGGCGAAAACTTCTTTCCCATCGCTGTCCCTTTAATTTGCAGGTAGAATTTCCCATTAAATTCAAAATCATTTCTCATCAAATTAATCTTCAGTAAATGCAAAATTTCTTTATCTGGTCTAGTAATATCGGGGTACTTATTAAATATCTTTCTTACTGCCGCTATTCCAGCCCCTGTATCAATGTTTGTGTACAAACTTTCCACGTCAATAGAAAAAAACATTGAATCCTTTGGAATCGATAATCCTTTCACTATGTCCACAAAATGATATGTATCCTTAATATACGAAGCATGTCTTGAAGAGAGGAGATTCAAATAAAAGTCAATAAATTCCGCCGTTCTGTACGTTTCGCTCCCGCAATCCGATACGATGGGTCTACCCGCTGGAACTGCAAATGGGACCGGCCACGTATTGGGATCTTTATGAATTTTTGGCAATAAATAGAACCTTCTTGGTCTCGGTTCCTCCTGTCCCTTTAAATATTGTCTTTGTTTACTATTTATGAATTTGTGTTCCCAGAGTTTGTCCAAAATTTTATGAACTATTGGAATTGTTTTTAAATATATGGGTTCGTCCAATTTTTTATAATAGATAGAATTGTTTAATTGTCTTTCCCCCTCTTGTAT